AAAAAGCAACTGCTGAGGTCTTACCAGGTCCAAAATCAAGACAAATGATCTAATTACTGTCATGTCTGAAAATAGAAATAGACATTGTGGTCTTGAGAAAGGGAATTATTTATCATGTCACCGGAGGCATAGGGTAATGATAAACCAGACCTTTTGGTGACACTAATTAAAGCATTTGGAATACACATGGATCAAAGGCAGAAAGGAAAAAAGGAAGATAACACAAAACTTTTGTGCTGAACTAGGTCTGGAGGCTTTAAAAACACAGAACAACCTGATATATTGGGCTTTATACTTAGGATGTGGTAACTTATTTAGATCCGCACCACCCCCATCCTTAATGAGCAGGCTCTTATTGATCCCTGACAGCATGCCTTTGTGGGCTCTAAGCAGTAGTAAGGATGATGATTATTTGTTTAGAGTTTTACCATTTATAAAGCCTGACCTCAACTTATCTCACTTGAGATCCTATATTAAGACAGCTTTTTTAAAACTACGTTTTTATTTATTTCAAAGAGAGGAAGGGAGAGGGAGAGAGAGAAACATCAATTATGAGAATCATTGATTGGCTGTCTCCTGCACGCCCCCTACTGGGGATTGAGCCCACAGCTAGGGCATGTGCCCTGACCTGGAATGGAACCATGACCGCCATGGGTCAACACTCAACCACTGAACCACACCAGCGGGCTGTATTCAGACAGCTTTGCTGCTTATTCAAACAAATACACTAGGAGATGGACAACATTTTATTCACTTATATTTCCCCCCTCACTATAACTAAGAGGATACTACTACCAAGCGACCATTCCATTAAAGCAGCGGTTCTCAACCTGTCTCTCGACCTCTTTGGGGGTCGAACGACCCTTTCACAGGGGTCGCCTAAGACCATAGGAAAACACATATATAATTACATATTGTTTTTGTGATTAATCACTATGCTTTAATTATGTTCAATTTGTAACAATGACATTGGGGGTCACCACAACATGAGGAACTGTATTAAAGGGTCGCGGCGTTAGGAAGGTTGAGAACTACTGCATTAAAGTCAATACGTTCATTTTTATTTTTAAAAAGGATGATATGGTCTAGAGCAGTAGAAGGGGAATTATTACTTAGGATAGCTTTCTGGAGGGCAACTTGGCAATAAGTATGAAAGTCTCAAATCTCTTAGAATGTACATACTCTGAAGATACCTTCCCAACAATATGAAAATACATGTAAGCATAGAGATTGGTTAAAGACACATATTTAATTTAAATTAAAATAACTGAAACTGTAAATTTTTCCATTAAACACTTTATTTCATGTAAAATATTTCACTAACATTTTATTATATTAATTACATGTTGAAATGATAATACACTGGATATAGTGAGTTAAATAAAATACATTAAACTGATTTTCACCTGTTTCCTTTTGCTATTTTTAATGTGGCTACTAGAACATTTTTAATTACATAAATGGCTTGAATTCTATTTCTATATGACAGCCCTGTTCTATACCCACTTTCCATATAGCCTTTCCTGATTTTCCTAAACAGATATGACTTCTGTCTCCCCCATAGCTCTTTGAATTTCTCTTAGGATATTTGTGGGGGGACATTTGCCAGCATCCTGCCTCCTTGGGGGAAAGTCCTAGGGTTCCTGCTTTGATGAAAATTAGTGGCCACATCCCACTAGAGAAACCGGAGGGGCTGTCCCTTCTAGTACCAGGGAGGAATCAAATTCCTCCAGTTAGAAGCTCCTTCCTGGCAATTTGTATCTTGGGCCAGGGTTACAAAGGATGGGTTGAAGGCCCTGTTTCTTAAAGCTGCTGCAGAGTGTGGCAGATAAACTACACCCACTCTTCCTGCTGTATCACTTTTGCAGTGTTTTCTGCTGCCTAGGTTTTCCCAAATGGATTGGAAATCAATCAATATAATGACACTAATTCTCACCATTGATTCTGTGAGACACTGACATCTGTCTACTCAATTTCCCTTTTCCTTACTTAAGATGAGAGAGGTTGTGTCTGTTGTCGGAAACCGTGTGTTCTGATACCGCACTGATGCTGTCCTATGATGTCTTACATTTAATCCTAGCAAGTTCTAGGCTATGGGGAACTTCTAAGGATTGAAGGATAAATTGAAGCGTCAAGCAGGAGCCAGCCCTGCAGGTCTAGGGATCCATTATGGAGGTAGGTGCACATCAATTCTTTCAGTTCTTGGTCATCCCTTTGCTCATTCCAGAAACAGAGTAAAGGACCAGCCGGGGTTGGGGGTCTGTGGGAGGCTGAAACATGGCCCTCCAAGACATTCACGCCTTAATCCCTGGAACTTTCGAACGCTACCTTCCATGGCAAAAGGGCCTTTACAGTTTTGAGGAAATTAAGGACCTTGAGGTGGGGAAATTATCTTGAATTATTTGGGTGGGACCAATATAACCACAGGGTCCTTAGAAGTGGAGAACCCGGCCCAGCTGGATGTGAGTGATGTGACTGTAGAAGCAGGCTGAGAAAGATGCTGCCGACTGCGGAGGGCGTCAGAGCTGAGAAATGCAGGCAGCCTCTTGAGGTCCTAAAAGACAAGGAAATGGGTCATCCCTAGAGATTCCAGAAAGGAATGCAGCCCAGTGAGATTGACTTACAAAATGGCGTGGTTTTGACTGATTGTGATAAACTGTTGGGGCAGCAAATGAAAAACTAATACAAAGTGCCTTCTCCCCCTCCCCCTCCCTTGAGCTGGAGAGGACACCCCTTTGATTGACAATCCTAACAAGGCTGCATCCCTTGGAGAGTAGGGGGGAGGTTCCTGTTTGAAAAGCAGGTGCAATTAGCAAGTGAGGGAAAGGATACTGAACAGGCAAATCATGGCTGCCCACTGCCACCAACCACCACAGCCCCTGGTACATCATCTAATCAAAATATGTCCAGTTGAGTCTTTAGGGCCAGCAACTGAATAGGCTAAATACTGTGGTTAAGAAGCCTTGAGGAAATAGAAAACATTGTAAGGAATGTAAATCCAATATTTATGTATGCAATATATATTGTATTTATATGTTACATATACAGTATATATATTCCACGTTCAAAGGCTGTCAAATCCCGTTGTTTACCCATATCTTCAGAAAAAAAATCACTTCTACTGTCGTGGTAAACAACCTGCTTCCCTGTTTATAATGGTCTGGCCCTCTAGCAACTTTAGTGCAAAATTATAGCTAATTTGCTTACAAACGTCAGGTGGTCATAATAACCTGGCCTCTCAGTGTATATGATATATGTTTAGATATAACTGCATCTTAAAAATTCCAAATTCTGTCATAAAGGTTCTCATGAAACTTGAAAAGGACTGATTCCCCCTCAGTGAAGATGTAGTTAATTCAGCCAGCTGCCCTCAGACTCAGACATACGGACGTGTTCCATAAAAATAATCACTGGCTGAGTCATTGCTGACTAATTAGTTGCAGATAAATGGAGACCTACTTAGAGGCCAATGAGGTGAAGTTGTGGGCTACCAATCTAAGAGAGCCAAAAGGAGCCATCAAGGAAGTTTTTATTTTTATTTTTTCTCCTTTATTGAATAAGATATTACAAATGTGTCCTTATCCCACCAATGTCCCTTCATCCCCCCAATCCTGCCCTCAGCCATTAAGGAAGTTTACTGCATCTGTCCCCACACCTGGACATGGACACCTAAGGTCAGGAGAAGATCAAAGTGGTACACGTCCAGTCCTTGGACACGCCAAAGCTGCTGTCCCACACACCCTCGGCTTTTGAACATTTGGTCTGAGCAGGTGGCAGTCTAACAGTGAGCAATTCACTTTGGAATACAGTAAAACGTGACTTTAGAGGGGTCATGATCGTCCGCTCATAATTCAGTTAGGAGATTTTGGCTCATAAAGGTCTTTTCTGGCAGTGAAGGAGACCCAGGGTCAGGAGGTGTGAGGTTACCTTGGTCACCTTCTTCAAGCTGAGACTTTGTTCGGGTTGAAAACCATTTGGGCTGTAAGCATTCCCTTGGGAGTTTGTGTATGTCCTTGTTCATGTTGGGATTGGGGAGGGGTGAGAGGAAGGGTTCCTTTCCCAGACAGCAGAGCTAGGTAGGTCCCCCAAGTGATAATTCTGGGAGAACGTTTCTCGGTCTGGCCATCTGTTAGAAGTACCTGGGAAGCTTTAAAACAAGCACAAATATCAATATTTGGACTCACAACTCCAGCGGCGGGACCCTAGCGCCTGAATATTGTAAAAGCTCCCAGATCATGCCAACTCTGCCCCGTGCGGTCAGGGGGGAGAACCGCTGCTGTAGAATTTTCTAGTGTAGGAACCCCAGAGGACATTCGTTTTGTGGCCTCCACATACGACCTGACAGTGCTTTCCAAACTGCCGCGCGCCCAGGAACCTTCATTGCAGCTCTCGCAAGAAGTCGGGGTGCCACAGCTCCAACAATTAGGTTTGCGAGTTAACTGTCAAGCGGAGACTATGGCCAACCCAGAATGGTTGTGGAATTAAAAAAACAAAACAACCCCCCCCCTTCCCCCCAAACATGTACTTATTTTTTTATATATATTTTGATTTTTTACAGAGAGAAAGGGAGAGGGATAGAGAGTTAGAAACATCGATCAGCTGCCTCCTGCACACCTCCCACTGGGGATGTGCCCGAAACCAAGGTACATGCCCTTGACCAGAATCGAACCCGGGACCCCTCACTCCTCAGGCCGATGCTCTATCCACTGAGCCAAACCGGTCAGGGCACCAAACATGTACTTTTCACTGGCTCCTCTACTCCGAGCAGTGAGGGCTGGACCACCGAGGAGACCGGAGTGTGGCAAGGTGCGCGGCGCCGGGCGGGGCTGGCTCTGCTTTCCGGAAAATTCCCTGGAGTCCAGGGGGCGTGGGAGGAACGGACTCTCCAGCTCCCTTTGCTCCGCCGCCGCGTCCCACCGCCCCGCCCCCCAAAGAAGCGCCGGCACCGCTCAGATTTGCAGTCGAGGCCGCGTCCGGAGGGAGAGAAGGGGCGGCGGCCGGGCGGCTGGGAGGGGCGCTGCGCGGGTTCCCCGGCTCCGGCCGAGGGGCGGCCGCGGCTCGGGCGCGCGCACCGTGGGGCCGGCGTCCGGGCGCGGCCCCGGCCTGGCCTCTGTGCGCTCCAGGCGCCGCCTCCCCCCGCGCCGCGGGCGCTGCCGGGGCGGGGACTCGCCGCTGCGGAGGCCGGAGGCGCGCGGCGCGGAGCGGGCGGAGCGCGGGGCGGCGGCGGCGGCGGCGGCGGGAGAGCGGCCGGGGGACCGGGGAGCCGGGCTTGCAGCGCCGAGCGGCCGCCCGAGCCGCGGCAGGAGGTGAGTGTCCGGCGCGCGTTGCCCGGCGCGCCCTTCGCCACCCGGCGCCCTGGCTGCTTCCTTCTCTCCGTCCCTCCTCGGCCCGGGCTTCGGTCCCAGGGACTCGGTGCGGGTCCCGGAAGACACCGCCCGGCTCGCGCCCCGGCGGCAGCCTGCTCCCGGCGTCGGCTGGGCCCTGCTCCGCACCTCCCCGCTCCGCAGCCTTCGCCTCGGGGCTGTCGGGACCCGCCGGACCCCGTCCCCGGCGCCCAGGGGCCGTGCGAGGGTTGCCCGCCCGTGCGGAGGCCAGGCGGGGACGGTGCGGGCCTTTGTTTTTGTTCTTCGCTGGATCACGCGCGTCAGCATCCAAAGCCCAAAGCGTGCGTCCCCCGGAGCCGCGCGGGTGCGGGTCTCGCGGGCGTGACGGGCGCGAGGGCAGGAGGGAGGGCTGGCGCCGCGCCTCTCCTCCCCGTCCTCCCTCCGCCTCCCCACCCGCCGCGGGCGCCCACGTTGGCGGCGGTCGTGCCCTGGCAGGTGGCCGGGGCCTCGGACCGCGCCGCCGGAGCCCGTGCGGAGCCCGTGTTGGGGGCGCCAGGCCCCCCCCCCCTGCCTTCCCCACCGTTGGCATGTGACGGCTCCACAGAACTTTAGCTCTGCTCTGACGAGGGTCTTCGGGGTTTATATACCCTTTATATGTACACCCTGCTTAATGTTCTTAATGTGTGTGTTGTTTTATCTTTGGTAAAGCAAAATGGGGGAAATAATCTATTTTGATAAATGTTCTTTTTAGCGGATCTTAGGAATCATTATTACATTCGGAATGCCGTGATGCTGCTAGCCATTTGCAGATGCCCCATGTCTAACGGTGCCTTCAACTTGTGCGTCTTTCGACGTTCCGAGATTTCCTTTGTCTGGTTGGGGTCTCCGAGGGCCGGCAGCCTGAAATTATGCCAGTGTTGAGGGACATTCCTAGGGGCGGATTACTAACCTGTCCAACAGCCCGATGAAATATTCAACAGCGCTGGAGAGTGACGCGGGGTTTGGCTTATGGCCATCGCATGGACTCAAATTGAGGCAGTTGTAGTATTTCTGGATTTTTCGGAGCGTGGGCCCTGGGGAGCCGTGTAACCTCCAGGAGGTCCTTGTGGTGGCCTGGGGCATTCTGGCTCCTCCCCCTCCTGTCATCGAGGATAGAAACTACGCTCATGCGATTGGGAAGAAGAATGTTACTTTATTCGTTAAGTAGAAACCAGCAACTTGCTAACATTTACTGTCCTTAGGCTAGAACTCAATTTTTAAGGTGTCACCCGGTGAAAAAGACATTGAATTCTTAAGATGCTTAGAGGGGAAAGGTTAGCTCTTCAAGACATTTTGTTCTCCCATGGAGCACATTTTTTCCATTGGTTTTGCTCAACCTGGAATGAGAGGAAGGAGTGCTGGGGAGTGAGGGAGGGGTCAGATTGCAGTGAGGTTGCTGTTAGGAGCTAAGGATGCCATCTGCTTTCTAACTGCTGGTCCAGTTGTTGATGGGGAATGCCAACGTTTTGCATTTATATATATTTTTTTCATTGGGGGCGCGGGGGGCGGGGGGCAGCGGCAAGCAGAAACCGCAGTGAAGATGGTTGACCTGGTCAGGCCCAGGGCTACTTGAGTCTATTTATGTGGCCACCTTCCCCCAGCAGGGAGGGCACTGCTGACAATCCTGTGCTTGTTCCGCTCGGTTTCTGCATCTGAAGCGGGCAGGGTAGCCGGCAGAGCCAGGGAAACCGCCTCTACGGGGAGAGTTGGAAGGTGGAGTGTCACCAGGCAGGCTGTGATGACCAGAGAGCTCCTTGATGGCACTTGAGCGAAAGGGAGCTGGTAGCCCCCCCACCCCCCTTCTTCTAAAACTGCCTGGGGTGACCAGGAGGGAGGAGGGAGACTGGGATGAGGGCTGACAGCCCCTGTGCCCTGGGCTTTAATTCAGTTGTACTATTGTTACTACGTTTATTTTTAGAAAAAAATAAGTTGCCTGAGGAAAAGATTCATTTATTTTTCAATGACCTAACATGAGAAATAATATCCATAATTGGGGTAAGAAAAAAAATCTTTTTTGTAAACAACCCCTTCCCCCCCACACAAAAAAAACACCCCCACTTTGTTAATTTTTTTAAACATTTGCAAAAGGAGAGGAATGGTCTTCATAGGCCTTTGCTCTCACCTTAGGAAAGTATGAGTGGTATTTCATTTGCCCCCAAAAAGCATTCTTTGATTGTGATGGTTTTCTAGACTTTTAAGTTACTGATGAAATACATTGAAAGAGAGACTTGGCTTGAAGTTGAAGAAGTGTTTCCTAAATTGCCAGAGAGTCTGCTTAGCTTCACACAGAAATTTCCTACACTTTCAGAAGAAAAGAAAAAATGCATGCCTTGTCAGATTTTTACATTTTGATCTTATTTTTCTTTAAAACCCTTCAAGGCTGTGCTCATAAAACTTCCTCCAACTAAGATCTTTGAAGATTGATTAGTGCCTGACAGTAAGAAAATACATGTAAAATACTATATAATAATACATTTTGTAGTTTGCTGTGATTTCCAATTTTTTTTTATCATTCTCATTAGTAAAAAATTTTTAACACCTAAAACTTACATATGTTACTAGAGGCCCAGTGCATGAATTCGTGCACCAGTAGGGTCCCTCAGCCTGGCCTGCAGAATCGGGCCGAAACCAGCTCTCTGACATCCCCCGAGGGGTCCCGGATTGGGAGAGGGCACAGGCCAGGCCGAGGAACCCCACTGGTGCACAATTGGGGCCGGGGAGGGGCACAGGAGGTTGACCAGCTGGGGAGGGACTGCGGGAGGGCTCCTCCAGGGCATGTCTGGCCTGTCTTGCTCAGTCCTGATCAGCAGGACCCCAGCAGCAAGCTGACCTACCAGTCAGAGTGTCTGCCCCCTGGTGGTAAGTGCACATCATAGTGAGCGGTTGAGCGGCCTTAGCATATCATTAGCATATTACGCTTTGATTGGTTGAACGGCCAACCAGACACTTAGCATATTAGGCTTTTATTATTATACTAGAGGCCCAATGCACAAAATTTGTGCGAGAGTTGGCCTTCCTTTCCCCGGCTGCTGGCACTGGCTTCCCTCTGCACCTGGCACCCGGGCTTCCCTCTGGCACCTGGGGCCAGGCTTCCCTCGAAGCCCCGGCTTTGTCTGGAAGGGTGTCCGGTCTAATTAGCATATTACGCTTTTACTATTACAGAGGATATGTCAGTTATATCTCAGTGAAATAACCTTTAGCTCTCCCCATACAAATACATGTGCTATTGTTGTCGTGTATCTCAAGGCCCAGTATACACTTAGGGCTGGATTCATTGTTAATAACAGTGGAGGTAAAACCCCATTTCAGATACTGCTTCTTGAATTTTGAGTATTTTGGGCCTGTTTCTGGTCAGATCAGTTTTTACTTCATGCTGTGGCTCAGGCAAAGCTGACTCTGGGCGAGAAGCGTGGACCTTCCAAACGGGGTTTGTGTTTGCCTGTGCTTGCGTTTACTGGTGTAACCTAATGTGTGCTTTTTATAGGAATCGTAAAGCTTCATATCCTCTTTAATGTTTAGTTTGGTTATACTGTGTCAATCCACTTCTCTGTGCAAGTCCTGAAGGCAAAGAACACATCAGGCACTTCCGAGGGGTGGTGGCGCGTGACCCTGGACAGAGGGACACAGTGAGGAGGCAGAGTCAGTTTCTGCTTTTATTAGCACTGCTAGTATTTTGCTGTAGCATAATAAAATTAGCATAACATAACGGTATAAAATAATCAGCATAATTAGTACATACATCATATAATTTAAGTTACTACATGTAATACTGGTATCACTAAAACATAGTTGCTATCCTACTTTTTGGGTAAAAATAAATGTAACTCCTGGGATTCCCTTCCCCAGCTCTGGAGCATCTTCTTCAACCTCAGGGATGCCTGAGCCCTGCTGCAGACAGCTGCTTTCTCATTTTAGCCTCAGGTAATTCTTTCATTCGCTCCTCAGAAGAACCCCATTAAGGTGGGTACAATTGATCTTTCCCCCTTTTTTAATTGAATAAACTGAGACTAAAAATGGTCATGTGTTTACTTAGTGGCAAGTAAATGATGGCATTTAATTTTCACACCTGTCTTAGGAGACAGACACCAAGGTTACCCCTTTACAGACGATTCCAGAGGGCTGGGAGGAACTGCCAGGTACGCAGGTAGAAATGGATTCTCACACTGCACTCCACCTCCTCTCCTTGACCTGCCCAAGCTCCAGATGGGGACCTGTGTCTTCTTTGTGTCCTTTGAAGATAGAGATCTATCTTGCCACCTTGGTGTCCCCAAGGATGGGTTCCAGCACAGAAGAGAGCCTTGGAATCTGTTTGAATGAGTTCTGTTTTGTTCTCACCTTCATGAACATACATGTGGTATAATCATTGTGTTTCAGGGGAAGCTGTAAAATACCATGATTTAATCTGGGAATGCCAAAAATACAGCTTCAACACTGGCTAATATTACCAATGTATATCTTCCTTACATCTTAATTTAAAAATTATATATTTTTATTGATTTCAGAGAGGAAGGGAGAGGCAAAGAGAGAGAGAAACATCAATGATGAGAGAGAATCATTGATCAGCTGCCTCCTGCACACCCCCTACTGGGGATCAAGCCCGCAACTCAGGCATGTGCCCTTGACTGGAATCGAACCTGGGACCCTTCAGTCCACAGGCCAACGCTTTATCTTCTGAGCCAAACCAGCTAGGGCACATCTTAATTTTTTATTGTTATTGTTTGGCTTTTGTATTAAAAATATGCTCATTGAGGAGAAAAAAGGTTGTGAAAAATAAAAAATGAAAGCTTCATTTCTACTCTTCCTTTCCTCTATACATTCTGTTCTCACCATAGCTTGTATGTATCCTTCCTTTTTATATTTTGGAACTTTTTTTTACTTGAGAGTTTGTATTTTTTTAAAATGTATCTTTATTGATTTTAGAGAGAGAGGAAGAGGAGAGAGAG